GCACGCGCTTTGATATTCTCCACCGCTACTCCCTCTTGGTTTCATCCCCAGCACCTTGGCTTTGGGGATTACTTAGTTGTCTGCTTGTTTAGTGTCTGGTTTCCTCTCTGGGCCGTGAGTTCTGGGAGGGCAATGCTGTATCTATCTTGTTCACCTGGACTCATAGTATTTGACTTGTAACAGACATTGGTTGAAGAAACACTGAAGACCTGCAGGATAGGGCTAGTAATACGGCTCAGGCACTACCCCACTGGGTTAAAAGAGATCACGGGTATGAAAGTGCTGGGCAAACCAGTTAATGGTATTGGGGATGTCAGTGGTTAACTGGTACATGGTTAACAAGCATGGAGCAGGGCGGAATAAGGCTCCATGCTTGATGGAGACCCAAAGAGCAGCTCTGCTCTCCTAATTCTAGGAGAAGAGTGAATGATGGATCCAACAGTGATACCAGTGGGACAGTAATATAATGTACATTTCCTTATACTTCCCTTTTTGCCTTGGCTGTTAAGAAGCTTACAGGCAAATTGAGACTCAATTGTCATGCAAGAATTAGCTCAAAATTTTCTCTCAAAAACAGATAATGTTTTGTGAAAGTCCCTAGCACCCTGTCTGAGACACGGAGGAAGTTCAAAATTAAACAGTAATATGCGAATAGTCTTGGATTTGATTGTAGCTTTGCCATTTTTAGGGTAAACTACCTCATATCCTCTTCGGAGGCAGGGGGAACATCAAACGGTTTTGGTTTTTATTACTGGAAAAGTAATATTATTCGTAAGAGCCCAACGTGGAAACAACCCAACTGTCCATCAACTGATACATGGATAAACAAAATGTATATATCCATACCATGGACTATTATTAGGCAATAAAAAGAAATGAAGTTCTGACACATGCTACAACATCGATGGTCCCCGAGAGCACTACATGAAAGAAGCCAGTCACTAAAGACCACAAATTGTATGATTCCATTTACATGAAATGTCCAGAATGGGCAAATTCGTGGAGACAGAAAGTAGACTGGTGGTTGCCTAGGGCTGGGGGACTGGGTGGGGCTGAGGAGTGACTGTGAATGGGTGTGGAGTTTCTATTTGGGGTCATGAAAATGGTGGTGGTGGTGGATGTACAGCTCTTTGAATAGAGCAAAAATCATTGAATTGCACTTTAAGTGGGTGAATTGTATGGTATGTGAATTATACTTCAATAAAGCTACTAACATTGATTAATTAGAGTAAGAGCACCCCTGGCTCTCTGATGATGTTATGACTGGACAGGCCAATCAGAGTGGGTGTGAATCAAAAGCCAGCTTTGATTGGACATGAATAACAGGTCCTCCATCTCTCTCTCCCTTCTCTCTTCATCCCTTCCTCCCTCCCTTCTTCACTTAAGTCTTTTCTCAGCATTCTTCTGGAGACCCCCACCCAGAGATAAAGTAGACAGGGCCTTCCTCCTCAAGGAGTAGAGCAGGGTGGAGAGGAGGTGTGGAAAGGATGAGCACAGTCGAGACTGAACATAACTTCCTCGGCACGGATCGAGTCTCCTGTGGATTCTGGCAAAACAGATCGTCTTTGTGTAGAGGAACATCTTTTGTCACAGCAAATGCTGTTCTATTTCTTCATTCGTACATGAATTCAACAGACAGTTACTGTGCGTGGTGCTGAGGATACAGAGATGAATAAGAGAGTGCATCCCCAAGGGGTGGGTGGGGCACGTGACCCAACTGTGGTAGCTCAGCGGGGTAGGGGCTGGAAGGGGGCTGCTGGCGCAGGGGGGGCGATGGGGGGGTAGGGGTGGGGCAGGTGGGCCTGCGAAGCGTCTTGCGCCGTCAGCGCTGCTTGGCTTGGCAAAGCAGCCCAGAGACCTTGTAGAGGTCTCAGTTTGGGGCAGGCCACGCAGCTTTCCTGGCCCGTTCCTGGCCTCACCGAGGCAGAGGGCAGCTTGGCGGCCTCACCCCGGGTCAGGGGATCTGCTGCGAACTCCTGGCTGGGAGCGGCTCAAGGCCGGAGGGGCTCCTCCGCTGGGGCACGGACCTTCCTCTGGCCCAGGTGAGGCGGCCCTGCTCCTTAGAGCTGACCGGTTCACCACTTGCACTCGGGAGACAGGACAGGAGCGCGGTCCCCGGGGAGCGTCTGCACGCGGGAAGGCTCGCCGGCAGACGGGAGGCGCTGTGCGGGAGGTTCGCCGCTAGAGGGAGCGCCGCGTCGTTCTCCGTCACCCGCGCTGGGCTCCCGGCTGAAGCCAGGCTGGGCGGCAGCCAGGGCTCGGGGAGCGGTTCCTGGGAAACTCATTCTTTGGCCCTTTCCCATTTAAAGATTTCTCAGGAGCAGCTGGGCTCAACCATCCTTAGTGTTGTTTGTCAGGAATTCGCAGAGCCCTTGAGTCCCGGATGCGGCCACAAGCCTGTTGCAAACCCTGGGGCGGCTGCGGCAGGGATTCTGGTAGCTCACAGAAGCTGTCCTTTGCTCCCCTCACCCGAGGACCTGGGAAAAGGCCTCTGTTTGTCCCCCGTGGGCAGTCTGGACTGGCCCTCAGAGCTGCAAAGGACGGGCCCCTGGGTTCTGGGCAGTGCCTCAGCTCCGTGCCACCTGGAAAAAAGTTTAATGCTTCATAGGAGGGCGAGATGGGGAGCAGGGCTTAGGAAGAAGTGAGGCCGGGCTGGTAGGACGTGTCCCTGGTATGAAGACCTGGGGACATGGTAAGCTGTCTCCCGATGTCTCAGACGTGGAGCAGGGCAGCTGATGGGCACGGTGGGCAGGATCAGAGGGGCAGCACCGAAATTTCGCAAGAATGGCTCAGCTGCGGCTCTTCTGGCGTGGCCCAGAAGTTTCCTTGTGGATGCCCCTAATTCCTGCCCTGAGGGGCACCCATAGGTTCAGGTCAGGCTGGCCTCCTGTGGTGACAGCTGATGGCTGCCATCTTTGAAGGCAGGGCTGGGAGAGGACGGGGAGTGCAGGGAATAAGCCCTGGTCCTTGGGCACCACCATCATGGCCACTAAGATCTTGGGCCACGTCCTCGACCTCTTCTGACCCAGGTCCTGCTGATGGTGCAGGAGGCTTAGGGCTGTTTTCTCTCTCCAGCGTTGACTCCTGGGTCTGGTAGGCAGACCATCCTTTGCAGCCCCTGGGTACAGGCAGCAGGGGTACGAACTGGGGACCGACGTGCTGCAGGAAGCCAGGGCACCATCTGCAGTGGGAGCAGGTCAGAGCTGGCTTGCTGAGGCTCCTGTCACTGCCGTGGTTAATGCTGGTGATTACCATGGTTACCCGAGGCTGGAAGCTCTGACAGGCAAAGGCAGAGCAGGAAAAGGATGTCCTCTCCCTGCTCGGAGCCACACGATTGCCTCTGCCTCCCAGGCAGTATTCTCCTGGCAAATATGAGAGCCTGGACCAGGGAAGTCATTCCGTCATGGTTCAGCCGATCCATGCATCATTGATCACCAAGCATCGGGGGCCTTTGGGGAGCCCTGTCCTGAGCACATTCAGCGTGAGGGAAGCAGAGGGAGTGTCTGGACCCTGCCCTCAGTCTGCTCAGTCTTGGGAGGACAGAGAAAGAGGAAGAAATGGTTTTCGGGTCCTCTGGGAGCTCAGAGTCAGAGGTGGGAAGCAGTTAGAGGAATAGGTGGAGAATTCAGCATAGACTCTTGAGGATACAGCCATGACCTTCTGGGCCTGTGCTTCCAGTACCAGCTTGAGGCTGTGACTGCACCCCCTCCAAATAGGGCAGTGGCCGGGGAGTCAGGACACCTGCTTTGCCAGTGGTTATGAGCTCCAGCTCCTGCTGGGTCCTGGTTTCTCCATCTGCAAAATGGGGTTAATGATTACTAATCCCCCATCTACTTCAAGCCTGTGAGGAGGAGTTTTTAAATGAATAATTTTGTGCATTGAAATGAGCCAACAGATTTCAAGTCTTTGGAGAAAAGACCTTATTTATTATCATCATCAACTCACTGAGCAGAAATTCCATTTGTCTCCCTTGCCCCCTCTCCAGTGCTGCATGAACTGAGAGCCATATTACCTCGGTGAGATGACAGGGCTCTGCACAGCCACCCAAATCCTAGCCCCGGGGATTCCTGGGGGACTGGGGAGGCCGGCTAGGGCTTCCTGTGAGCTCCGACGGCATTCCAGGGCCAAGAGCAGAGCAGGAACTTCATGTCCAAACACTACAGCAGAAGTCTGAAGCTTCTCCACCAGGATGCCTAGCCTGGGGTGTGAGAGCTGGGAAAGGAGGAGGCCTGCTCTGAAACTCTTTTCCTTTGGTTCATTATCATTACATGTTGACTTGCAAAATGAGAAAAGAGAGATAAGCAAGAAGAAAGAGAGAGAATGAAGAAAGAAAAGTAAATCACTTACATTAATTAAATTCTGATACTCAATTCTGGTAAAATGTCTAACACAGAAGGTCCCCATAAATATCCGAGGGAATGAATGAACTCAGAAGACTGTGATCTGTCTGATAAATATCTGCTAAAGTTTTAAAAATATAAAGATTATATTTTTAAAGAAAAAAACCTGATGTGAATTTGGGTGCACTGCTAAATTGTGAGGAGGGTATGGAGGGTTCCCACATACTCCCTGCCCTGCACCTGCACAGCCTCCGCCACGATCACCAGAGGGGACATTCGTTACAGCTGCTGAACTGACACTGACTCATCATTATTACCCAGAGCCCATGGCTCACATTAGGGTTCACTCTTGGTGGTGTACATTCTGTGGATTTGGAAACACGTATAATGACATGCACCCCCTCTTACAGTATCATACAGAGTTTCACTGCTCTAGAAATCCCCTGTGTTCTGTCAGACTTTTTTCACCTCTGTTTATATGCACATATAAATACTCTGCCCCTTATAGTAATAAATAATATATTTTTAAAGATAGGATTATACCGTACATATTGATTAAAAACCTGTTTTCTCTCTGAAAAATGTAATGAGGATAATAAGTTTGAAACACCTCCTTCTCGATAATTTGGGTTTGACCCTTGAAGTCTTTGTGTTATTCAGACAAGACCAGGAGGCTGGAGTAAGGAAGAAGGATACAATGGGACAAAGGAGAGAGTACCCCTGAGGCTGGGCAGGGGAGGAAGCAGAGAAAAGCAAGGGGTGAGTTGGAGCATCCTTCAGTTGCATGGCGCTCTCTTTATCTCTGTCCCCCACAAAAGCTGTGCCCGCCTCCAGGTGTGGGTCTCAGTCATTACTTCCTTTTCCAGAGCTCCTGGCTCCTTGGGGGAGGTCACTCACTGAAAACAGGATGTGTTCTGGGGAAGATACATCTGTATCAATATCTCTATCTATCTAAACATCTGTATCTATAGATATCTATATACCTATATGTATCTAAATATCTCTATTTCTGTCTCTTTTTTTTGGTCAGGTGAGCCTTGCCTGGCCTTCCTTGGCTCCTAGCAAATCAGCAGGTGTCTCCTGCATATCTAAGAGCCTTCCTGCACATGGGCTCAGGAGAGAGTCCCAGGTAACTCTAAGCCTCTAATTGTCCACAGAATCTCCTCTGCCTGTTTCATCTATGCTGACAGCTTCTCCTTTATCCCCCCGGGTCAGATTCTTAAGTGTCCTTGCCCACTCAGCTGTGCTCGAAGGGCCCCCTACTTCCTCACTAGTCCTCTGGTCTCTGCCCATCCTGTCTGCATGGTCCAGACCCGTGCAGTGACCCACAGGGATGGCTGGTGGAGAAGGTGGAAGCAATGCTACCTCACTGGGCAGAGCACCAGCCCACCAAGCAGGGGTCACACAGACGTGTTGGTGAGTCTGGCAGAAGCAGGGCACAGAGACCTCTTCCTCCCAGTCAGACAAGACTCCAGGGGTTTCTGGCTGATTGCAGGCAGGCTCCAGCTCATCTGGTTAGGACAGTGCTTTGCATTTCTGTTTCCCAAGGGTGAAGTTTTATATCCCTGTTGCTCATCACCCAGGATCTGTTCCTCAACATTGGGCTGGGTGTTTAGGAAGATGAACCATTTGTTCCTGAAAATCATGGTTGCCGAAGGCTCTGCTTTTAAAGTTCTTCTGTCAGGTTTTTATACTTTTTCTGTCTCAGTTGATGTGCCCAAGGGCTCTGCTGTTCACCCATTAGAGTCACATTTCCTCCTGGTCTGGCCTGTGCTGGTGGCACAGAGCTGCAAGGAGAATCTGGCTGTTGGCCGACAGGCTGGACCAAGGGGCTAAATTTACAAAGAGAAACTCATTTGGGACAGACATCAAGTTATCCGGCTGGGCCTTCTCTCCACAAAGGACTGCACCGATCCACGTGCACGGATGCACACACTCAGGTGCGCACACTCGGATGTACACACTTGGATGCAAACACCCGGAATGCCAGGGATGCTGCGGAAGATGCACGTCACGTCGTGCCCTTTGCTGCTTAAAGCACGTCAGTGTCTTCCTGCTGTGCTCAGAATACACTCCGCTCCCTTCACGGCCAAGCAGACCTGCTGACACTGCCTGCTCTTTGTGCCCCCTTCACCACTCACCAGGCCTGGCCACCCGGACTACCTTCACATCTCCATCCTTCATCCTGCAGGCCCGCATCCTGCCCAGTCGGCTTCCAGGGCTCCTCCCTGCCGTCTTCCTGTCGGCCTTCTCCCCGGGCTTCAGGATTCACCTCTTTGGAGGGGCCTTCCCTGGCCACCGTATCTCATACAGCTTTCCCTTTTCCCTCCTCCCATTATCTATTCTTTATCTTCATAGTATGTATTTCCATTTTCTTAGTTTTTGGTCTGTTTACTTATTTATTTATTTATTTTTTGCGGTACGCAGGCCTCTCACTGTTGTGGCCTCTCCTGTTGCGGAGTACAGGCTCCGGACGCGCAGGTTCAGCGGCCATGGCTCACGGGCCCAGCCGCTCCGCGGCATGTGGGATCTTCCCGGACCGGGGCACGAACCCACGTCCCCTGCATCAGCAGGCAGACTCTCAACCACTGCGCCACCAGGGAAGCCCCCTCTTTACTTATTTCTTATCTGTCTCTCCAAGTAGCCTCCACGAGAGCCAGAACTACGTACGTCAACCTTGTTGACCACAGTGTCCCCAGCACCTCGCAGGATGCGGGCTATATCCTAAGCACTCCATGATTGGTTGACTGATGAATGGTTTAGCAACACATGTAAGACTGTTTCGACTTGAGATGACTTTAAGCTCAACCTGAGGAAGACATATGAGTGGTTCCTGTCGGGTGGATGCTGGCTCAGAATGGGGGAGAGGATCGCCTTGCTCCGCTTATACAAATGTTGTGGTTCTGGGGCTCTGGTTCCCAACATGAGAAGTGCATTAACACATAGCACATGCTTGGAGGAAACTGACTCAGAACCATGGGCTTTGAGGGAAAGACACCCAGGGCCTTTCACTTGGAGAAGAGAAGGCTTAGGGGATACCTAAGAGCTGGCCACTGACATCTGGGGCATTGCTATACTGGAGAAGGAGACTCATTTTGTGTGCTTGGAGTGGGTTGCCTTGAAGAAAGTGATCTCCCTGTCACTGGAGCTGTTACTAGAAACTTCTTGTGGTGAAGATGTAGGGCTAGATGGCATTTAAAGTTGCTTTCAGTCCCAGATCCAAAAATGTCTTTGTTGAACTGCTGCAAACAGCCAGGGGCAGGTAGGAAGAGCAGGCAATTCCTATTTTGCAGGACTGTTGCCTCCCTGAAAAGCAGTTCTCTTTGACCTTGTAAGTCTCTCTCTCTCTCTCTCCCTCTCTCTCTCCCTCTCTCTCTCTCTCTCTCTGTGTGTGTGTGTGTGTGTGTGTCTGTGTGGTAGAGAGGATTGTTGTTGAGCAAATATTCACTCAATATCCCCTCTCTCTTCCTCCTCAGGATGGTGTATGCTTATTTGCCTCACTCACTTCCAACATGGCCATGTAAGCAGTGCACAGAAGTGGGGGTGTGCCCAGGCCTCAAATGTTTGGGCTTGTCCTCTGGTGCTCCTGCCTTCACCATGAGATATGTATACCTTGTGTGAGTCACAGTTCCAAGATGGAGAGATACATGGAACAGACCTAACCCAAGCCTAGCTGAGTTCAGCCAACCTGCGGACCCAAGAGTGAAAAGAAAGAAATGTCTCTTGTAAGCCACTGAGATTTGGGGATTATTTGTTACACAGCAGTATCACAGCCAAGCCTAACTAATGAGTGTTCATGGTTTTTTTTATTGCATGGAACTGCTCCAGTACTCAAGTCTGAGATGCTCACTCTGAGGCATATCATCAAGGAATTGAGATTTAGTGAGCAGTTTTTCCCCCCTCCAGACTCCTTTCCATGACCTCTCCTGGAGTGTGCATCTCCTACATTTATAGGACAATTAACCACATGGAAGAATTTTGCCTCCTCCCCAACAAGCCATTCCACAGGTGCTCAGACCTGCCTGTCCCTGACGAGGGCTGTTCTTGTTGTGGTCAGACCTCAGCTTCTTGGGGACAATGATGAGGCTGGAGCTCAGAGAGATGGAGGAGCCTCTGAAGCTGCAGCAGCCGGAGCAGAACGCACAGCTGCAGAGCCCTCTGGAAAGAACAGAGAAGAGAAGTGGACGTCACAGACCTGAACGAGGATGTTCTCTGTGATGTCAGGTAAGCTGCGTCTCTCCCTTCCACCTACGCAGCACAGACACGCTGGCAAGTGGCTTTTCAAATGCCTTTGACTCTTATCTCTCTTACATCACCCTCTGAAATGAAATCTCAAACACTTTCGTGGGGTTTGATGTGGAGAACAGTAAGCAGATAGAGGTTCAGGCGGAAACAGAACAGGAGTCAAAAGCCCTGGAGTAAAGCATGAATGGGCTTGGAGAGGACATATAAAATAGCAGAGACATTTATAAGGGTCTCCCCTACCTCAGAACAAAACAATTAGGAGATAAGAGAGGCATGGATGGGAGGAAATTTTTTCGTTTTTCACATTGCAGGCTAGAGAGATCCAATAGCCTGTTTATGAAGAACAATAAAGAAGATACATGAACTCAGTAAAGAGGTTGTTACAGATATATCGGGTGGCTTTGAAAGGCCAGGGTTTTCTCCCCCCTTTTGGATAAAGCTGTCAGCTAAGTATTAAAAGATGTTTTTGCTTTTTTTTTTCTTTCAAAAAGCAATAACTGGCACCAGCAGTTTGTTACAATTGGCAGAAAGAGTTATCACTTTTATTTAGGATTTGGAAATGCAATCAAAGAGGGGCAGGTTGGAGCGTGTATTAAATGAAGCTTAAACAAGCAAAAAGAAAACTGCTGGTATTTTAAACAAACGAACACAAAAATTACAGCTCCTTGTTGTTGATTTGAAGCTATACAAATTTTGACACTCACACGTGATAAAATGGGGCCAAAGCGGAATGGTTGCTAGTTCTGTGTGTGTGTTAAGTCCTGAAAGTTCTGATCATTTTTAAAAGTAAAAAACCCATTGTTTCTGGAAACTCTTTGGTAGGATCTGACTAGCTTATTGCCTGGGAAGTCACAGTGAAGATTCATTCTGTTGGCTTTGGAGGAAATTATTCTTCCTAGGATAATTTAAATAGACAAGAAAGCTAGGAGGATTGGTTCTGTTTAGCTGCCTGTTTTCACATTTGTTGTGTTTTGTGATTCCTGAATACCAAACTGACCCCTGAAGTTGTGAAAACATTTCTACCCATGACTTGCCCTCTATTGTGATTTCAACTTTTTTTTCTTTTGTGGTACGTGGGCCTCTCACTTTTGTGGCCTCTCCCGTTGCGGAGCACAGGCTCTGGGCGCGCAGGCTCAGTGGCCATGGCTCACGGGCCCAGCCGCTCCGCGGCCTGTGGGATCTTCCCGGACCGGGGCATGAACCCGTGTCCCCTGCATCAGCAGGCGGACTCTCAACCACTGTGCCACCAGGGAAGCCCCTGTGATTTCAATTTTGTTTGACTCATCCTCATACAGAAAGTCTTCATGTTCTCTGGTAACTTGCCTTATCTAGCTCACAGCTCTAAGAATCAGAATAGATGCAAAAAAAAAGTTCCCTGTGAGAAGATAAGAGAGATGTCACAAAATATTTGCTCTACATCTCAAGCATTTCACCTCCACGTCTGTGGATTCCTTCAAGTTTATTAAATTCCAACTAGAATAGCACTCTTGTTTTTCAAACCCAGATTGAATTAGAAGTGAGGAGAGGTCCTTCTGTGGGCAAGGGCAGTGACCGTCAGCAGTGACAGCAGACAGTCTGGTAATAAGAGACAGAAAAACTACAAAACAGATGAAAAATCAAAGAACTCAGCAGTCTGGTTCTACTTAGTAAAGGGGTAAATACTTGCCCAAGTGTGATGTTTAATTTTATGTGTCAACTTGATGGGTCTGGGATGCCTAGATATTTGGTCAAACACTAACCTGGGTGTGTTCTGGGTGTGTGAGGGTGTTTTGGATGAGATTAACATTTGAGCTGATAGACTGAGTAAAGCAGACTGCCCTCCCCAATGTGGGTGGGTCTCATCCAATCCGCTGAAGGCCTGAATAGAACAAAAAGGCTGACCCTCCTGTGATGAAGAAGGAATGCTTTTCTTCCTGACTGTCTTTGAACTGGGACATTGGCCTTCACCTGCCTTTGGACTCAGACTCAGACTGGAACTTACACCATTGGCTCTTCTGGTTTTCAGGCCTTTGAACTTGGAGTGGAACTTTACCATTCACTCCCCTGGGTCTCCAGCTTGTAAATTTGCAGCTCTCGGGACTTCTCAGCCTCCATAATGTCATTAAGCAATTCCTTATAACCTCTTTCTCCATCTATCTATCTATCTATCTATCTATCATCTATCTCATCCTATTGGTTCTGTTTTTCTGGAGAACCCAGACTAACAGATCAAGACTTACTTTGGTCTTGGGGCCGCACGTGATGGACTGACAGTGCTCACCTCTGTCATGAAGGGAAGGTACAGGGCTTCTCCTCTTGTCACTTGGGTCTTGGATCAGCTGTCCCCTCCCCTGGACTCTGCCCAGCAATGACACCTGTGTCTGTTCTGTCTGCTCAGGGATGTGCCTAACTGGCTGTTTCAGACTTTGAGCACCACTTTAGTTTCTAGAATGTGGGCTCTGAGGGACCATGAGTGTCTGGTTCTTTGCTGTCTCCTTGTACCTACACACAGTGACTTATCATATATAAACCCTTGTTGGATGAACGAATGTTCTCTATACCCCTTCACAATGGCATTGAGTAGAAATAGTTGAAGAGTTTTTTCAATAGTGAGAATTTTCTAAGAAGTGTTAGTGTTCAGAGAGAAAACTCTTGGGCTTTGTAAACACCCCTACCTTATCCCTCAGGGGCCCTTTCCTCATCCCTCCCCATCCCCCCATTAATGTGAAATGGTGCACTTGGGCATGTCCAGTTGTAGTAAAAGACGTGGTTCAAGGGAACAATGCCAATTGGATCTTATTTCCTCAATGAAACAATGCTACAATAAGGGGTGCATTCCTTATTCGTAACTTTTTATAGAAACACTTGGTATTTAAACCCCGAAGTACATGTTAGCTTGGAATCAGAGCTGCAGTTGAGTCCTGCTTCTTCCAGCTGATGCTTTGTAACTGTGGGCAAGTCCCTTAACCTCTATAGGTCTCAATTTCTTCATCTGCTAAGTAGGAAAAAATACCCACTTCACAGGGCAGTTGTGAGGATTAAACTCAGTAATGTATGTAAAGTACCTTGTGTATTACCTGGCACATAATAAGTGCTCAATAAATTTTAATTCCCTTTCTCCCTTCTCCTTTCTCCAATTCAGTCAAGGATTATGATAGATGTGTTTCCTGCACAGTGTAAAGCTTTTTAAAGTGCATATAAATCAATTAAATAGGCCAATGCAATAATTGAACATATAACATTTGTTTAAGAGATCCTGGGGAGAGGGACAGAAGATTAGGGGCTTGTGGAAACCTTGAGAGAGCTCCTAGGCGGGGGCTATTCACATGGGGGATCCTGTACTGTGGCATGTGCATCTCTGCTCTAAAATCTGTGAGAAAGGGCTGGTGGTGTCATATGCTGTGACTTACTTATAATTCAGAAGAGTGACCCTGAGTGATCCTGGCTGCTGGGTGGGCCCCCATAGGTAAAGGTAAAATGATCTGAGGAGTCATTGAAATGGCCACCTGACCTGCCTTCTGAATGCAAGGTTTGTGAATTAATCTTCTCAATGAGGGCAGAAGATAAGCCAGGTGACCCAGTTCTAAATTTCTCACCACTTGCCTGTTGTGAAGAGAAAGGTACATGTGCAGGCCCCCTTACCCCTCTGGCTGCTTCAGGGCGTGAACCTGGAGGGCAGGACCCTCCAGGCCGTATTTGGAGAACTCCGGGGACACCGTTACCGCGGGGTGGAATGCCATGTGCCACAGACAGAGTGGAAGGAGATTGGGAGCTGTAACGGGTGCTTATTCAGTGGCCAGAGAATGGCTTCGAATGTGATTCAGATTCTAGGCAATCTTAAAAAAACTCCAGAGCATCTTTTTCCCTGGAGGAGGGCAGGGCGAATTCTGTTTGCTCATGCACGGTTCCTTGCCCCTCTGTACCCTGGCAGACCCATGTTTTAAAGTGGAATTATAGAAGAATAGAGGAGGAATAGTGAAATAGAGGAGGCGTTCCTCAGGACGAGCCAACCATAGCGTGAGGTTGTCTCTGCCATCCCTCAAGACCAGGCGTGAGGACTTTCTCTTCCTGAAGCATCCCTGCCCGCTCTATCCTGTGCTCTTCCCAGGGACGAGATGGGAGCTGTCTTGGGAGGGTAGGAGTCTATCTCTCTGCAGTTTGTGAGTGTTGGGAGATAATTCTCTGGGGGTTTCTTGCATGCCTGCAAGTCTTGTGAGCAGAGGCACTGACGGCCTTTGTTCTAGATTCTGTCTTTGGGGATATTTGTATAGCCCGCAGCCTTGGAAGAAGCAGACAGTGTCTCCCTCTGGGGTGAGGAACAGATGGCAGGTATTTTTACTCTCCAGTAAAGACAATATCTCCCTCAGGCAGGTTGATGCCCATTTTAAAAGGTTCAGGTTTCCTAAGCTTGTATTCCGTCAGCTGTGGAGCAAACCCACTGTGTGTGCAGCATCCCTCTAGGCCCCTCCACGTTGTCCCCATGGGTGGACCAGAGGCACCAATGCAGACGCGATGCTCGTGCTACCTGCTGGACTGTGAGGAATAAAGAGCTTTGTTTCTGATCCAAGGGTCTCACGTTTTCTACCCACATCTGTAAAACTGTGGCTAACTTGTGAGCTTGCAAGAGGATACAATCTGGGACCTTCCACAGCTCTTGGTAGTGAACTCCTCACAGAAGGAGACTAGTTTATTTAAAAAAAAAAAAAAAAAAAAAAAGAAGGAGACTAGTGACTGTCCAGAGCTGGGGGCAAGGCTGGATCCACCCACAGGAGGCCAGTATCATGCCTGGTAACAACCTGGGCAGCAGCTTTCTCTCAGTGAACTCTGTCTCTCTGTCTCTCTGCCACCTTGTCTCCTGGCCTCCCCTGTACCTCCTCCTGTTAGGATTTTCTGCCATCTGTGGGCCTTGTGAGATGACCGGGGATTTTATCTCCCACGCCTCCCCACCCTTTACCTGGGAATGGATCTCTGGGCTCTAAGAAGCTCTGATGTCCTCTGCT